CAAGGACAGAGCACTTCCGATCTCTCTCCTAGTAGCTAAGGTTACTGAGCCAGTTGGACGGACAAATGGAAAGGCCTTATAAACCCTTCCCACACTCTTGCAATGTTCTAAGCTCTCTAAACACTCAAAAAGAACACAACAAAAGCAAGCAGTCAGTCTGATGCTATGGTTACTGAGCCAGTTGGACTGGCCATCGGGAGCACCGGGACATTTCACGGCCACTCTCTCTCTCTTTTAAAACTGATTGACTCTTATTTTTCCACCTAAGCATTTCCTCCGATATTCTACATTTGTTCGTCTGATCTGTTCATCCCTGCTCCCAGAGCAGTAGCGATGGGGAAAGACAGACCACACCCCGCTCCTCCTTTCTCTTTCTGAGGCTTTGTCACAGCAGAGCAGAGACACGGGTTGTTGTGTCTCTGCTCTGCTGTGACAAAGCCTCAGAAGGAGAAAGGAGGGGGTGGGGGGATCTGTCTTTCCCTATTGACAACAACAACAACAATAATAATAATGAGTTATGTACAGTATTGTCATCATTGTATGTTCCCATTCAATGGTGAAATTTGATCTCTGCATTTACCCCATCCACCACCAGGTGGTGCAGTGGGCAGCTACTGAAGGCGCCTGGGGGAGCATTTGGGGATAGATTGTGCTGCTCAGAGGCACCACAAGATGTGCTGGGGATTGAATCTGGGACTTTCAGGTCCGGGTCAGCTGCCCTGCCTCTACCCCATCTCGCCCGTCGTGTCCAATCTTACATTTAAAACTGCGAAAGAGTGAGTCCACGAAAGTCGAACAGTGAAGTATCGAGGGACTACTGTACTACTTATCCTGCTCATATTTACAGGCTTCAAGTTTAGAAAATAAATTTTGCCAGTCTTGCTACATTTTACTGCAGGTTTGATTGCTTGTACTCTATCACATTAAGGTTTTCAACTTTAAAAATAAACAAACAATCATCTCTTACATCTGGTAAATAACTTTTTCTGATGAAAACAAGACAAGCTACTGGAAAGTCAAACTTCAAGCTGAACTTTTGACCGTCTTCATTTTTTTCAGTACAGATGAGGAATGTTCTACTGAGTCAAATGAGTTATGCTAATTATTTTCTTTTCAAGGGTAGTTTGTATAGATAATATTCACACATTTGTTATTACTTATACTTCCATCTACTATATTGTTTTTACATTTTGTTTTATCAAACCAAAGTTGTTTAATTTAACAATTATATTCATATTGTTATGATCACGGAGTTTTTGTGTTTTTAGTTTATGTGTTTGTTGTTGCTGTTTTTTTTATTAGTTATCTTTTTTATTGTTTTAGATACAATATGTTTGTCTTCAGTTTTCTCAGTTTCACATGTGTCATTTAGCTGTCCTCCCTCGGCCATTCGGTTTTCAGCTCTTTTCCCACCTGAAATTCATCAGTTCATTAAGCTCCTCGCAGCTTCCCTCTACTCTTTCTGCTGTTTCTTACTCTGCTTCATAATTTTCTGTTTTTTCCACCCGAGTTCCCGTCTTTCTTTTTGCGTCCTGGTCAGATTATTTTTGCTTCCTGCTTCCTGTGAATCCTAATTTATTAGTTAAATATTTACTTCTTTTTTTTTTTTTTTTGCTGCCATGTTAGCTCTTTTATTTTCCTAATAAAGTGCATTTTCCACTACATCCTCTGTTGCCCACGTTATCATTTCTGGGTCCTCACACTGTGATGGTACAAGATTTATATCTTTTATTTTGGAAATAAGTGAGCTAAAGTAAACTAGGTGCACTGATGTACTTCCAGGTACACAAGCAATATTTATCAGTTACCTGCAGCCACAAAGAGGATTCCTGCTCCCAGGATGATGTTCCTTTTGCTTTTATAGAAACGACTAGCAGCGATGCAAACCCCTCCCATCAGCAGCAGGATGGCACTAAGGATGGGGAAGATGTTGGATGCTCTAACCACCCCTACAGGAGCAAAGATTAAAGCAACAAACATTAGGATGGGGAAGGAGTAATCTGTTACTTTACCAAACCTAAAGATGAGGTTGTACTGAAATTTGATCAAAATTATTACATTTTTTCTACAATTATAAACGTTAACATAAAAACTTGGAGTGCATTTTATTCTCAAGTAATACTTTAATAAAAAGCATAAAACTTTAATAAAATCTTGGGTAAAACTTTATTTTGCTCTGTTTGCTACAAAAATGTGCATTCAGTCAGCGCTGCACTGTAAACATGTTGGCAGAGGAACAAGATGCTCATTGAAACTAATATTTTAGTAAGAACTAGCTTTTGTCCACTGAAATTCTGCTTCTGCATCTGAAAGAAAACATGTCACAGTTCTGTGCTGAACTTCAGCAACAGACAAAATGGGGCAGTCTGCAAAGAATGTGTGTTAAAAATATACTCAAAATATTTGGTGATGAAAACTACAGACACACATTCGAATAAAATGATCCCATGTGGCTTTCAAGAGGTCTGTCAACCGCACACACATTTTAACACTCCTCTCATCTAGGACAACTAGGCCACGGGAGAGAAAATGCCACTTAAATGCCAGCAAAATGCCTCTGCAACAATGTAAACAGAGCACAGGCTCTGTGCAGCATATCACAGAGCAGAAGACATCACTGCAGGGCACCGAGAGAGAACTAGGGCACCCATCTACCATCACTTTCTACACACTGTCACATGTTTGGTTCTGACCATCTTCTGACCAAAAAGCTGATAAATACACACGATTAAAAAGTAAGTATAGATTGTTTTTTTCTTTCTCTCTGTCTTCTTGTCTCATCATCTGTGTTTTGGTAGTCGAGCGTCGACTTACTCAGGACGTATTCGGCCCCATCATGGTCAAAGTCTGCGTCCTCTGGGAAGTGATTAATCTGCGAGCACACTCCTCTCTTCACACCTAAAATATAATAAAAGGTGACAAGACTGAAAAAATAAAGTAGTCTTAAAGCAACAATTCAGGTTTTTTAACATGTATGTTATGAAGCATTAATATCTTACTTGCTGTAGAAGCTATTTGAACAACCGTTAACACTGGAATGTTTTTTCTGGATAAGCAAAACCTTTAAAAAAGAAATTGTTTTAGCCTCTGTAGAGCTGTCTGGAGATGCTCCTGTGTGTTATGTATGGCAAACCAAGTGGCCCATTAGTAGTCACTTTTACCACATGTCTGGTTATTAATGGACCACTTGGCTTGCCATATTAATGAAGAGACTTCATCAAATTGGACATGCTGTCCGTGTCTCTGCTGGGCAGGAGTGTGAGCGTGAGCTGGTGCACCTACTGCAGACGTAATATCCACTCCACAGAGTTGGCAATGTCTCCTCTCATTGTATTTTTAAAAAATAATAAAAATTAAAATGCGCAATGACTTTGGACTTTTAGGGGTGGAGATTTGAGTTGCCGTATCCGAACAAACAGTTGCCAGAACGCACCCGGTTAAAATGAGAGAGTTACCGGATCTTGTTCTGGCAGGATCAAGCTCAAATTAAGTACTGGTTCCAGTGTCAGTGTTCATGCTCAATAATCCATGTAAACAATCCAACAATGTTCAGTCAGGTCATCTGGACGGTTTCTTTTTTTTTGTTGAGACTTTTCGCCCTTCATCCAAAGGGCTTCATCAATATGAGGAGTCACAAACAAACTGTTTCCCCACCAAGCAGTACACTCCTATAGTGGACCAACCAGAAACCAGAGTGAAAAAAATTCTTGAACACTATCACCGTGTTTCTGTGTAGGCAACAAAACCACCAGCCATTTAAAAACAATGACATCATAGCCTCGTCTTTAACTGCGAACTTAGGGTGCGTTGTCTTCTTCTTGTGTTTACAAGCTTTATGCACACGCTTAATGCCTTGTTTCCTGTTTTTGGTGTATGGTGCCACATACAGGCCTGGCATAGTTACTACGGCTTTTTTAATTATAATTTAATTTTTAAAGCATTTCATTTCCCTGTGAATGAAGAACTTTCCAGAGACTGTGGCATGTTTATTAGGATATTTTAAGAAGCGACAAATAAAAAATTGTTTTGGAAAAACTTTCCATGTAGATAAGGCTTATTTTTGACCAGACTGATGAGCTAATGGCTAGTCCAACCAGGGGCAAGACCAAAGTGAATCACTACTGCATCTATCAAAAAATGTATATTAATACAAATGCTATTTTGTTAACATTTATATTCCTGTCAGTTTTGCATAATGCCTTTATTTACAGAGGATAATTTGCTTATTTGCAAGCAGCAGCTAGCTGTAGCACTTTAGTGCATCCTGGGGCACTTCCTGCAGGATTAATGCAGTCAGAAATAAACTGTATTCTTTCAAACAGACTCTTCAAACTGCTGTCTACAACAAGTAAGATAATAACTGTTTGCAACCTTTATACAAAACCCCTCATCCAATGATCTGAAGCTTAATGACATAAAAACAGCGAGTTTTGTTTAACATTCTTTTTTATTTCCTAGCCAAAGCATCTGAACTGAATAAGAGTCAACAAACCAAGAAAGAACTTCACAAGAGTTCACGGAACTGCTTCTAGAAGCAGATGGCGTTAGTACATACACAAACGGGTATGCAGGCAGAGAACTTCACGCTGTTTTCGCTTGTAAACAGAAAGCAGCGCACATGATGACGACAGCGCACAACTGTTGCTGATAGATGGATGTGAGAAAGATGAAGTGGTGGAAAGAAGAGACACAGACGGAAGGCGACGGACAGATGTGAGGTGATCTGATCGGTCACTCACGGCTCTTATTTTACACAAGTTCATCTGTAACGACACAGACGGAGGTACAAAGCAACAGGATGGGTCAGATGAGTCACATATCTGGGCCACATCATGCTCAAATATTCCCCTGAACACTGTCCAGCTTTAGGCATTGGTCAAACATTTTTGAAGGGATGTGCTTAGAGTTTGTGTTTAGGTGTATGGAGATAATATCGGCTCAGAAGGTATGATTTCAGCACCTGCATGGCATTGCACACACCAGTAGTTTCAAGGTTTAACCAAAACAAATACAAAACTATCATTTCTCATAACTGATCTGGGTGGGTGATATGCATTCCTCCAAAAAATGAATGCCCTTTAATTTTAGTAGAAGGTTCAATATGTGCTGTGCGCGGTTGTAATATGTGATCACAGCAGCTGTCGGTCTAATATCAGTGATGTAACTTTGTGATAATGTGTAAATAAAAACCTTAAAAATAATCAACTCAGTTCAGCGTCTCAGTCAGCGAAGCTGCAGAACAGAGGGGACAGGACACATCTCCCTCACCAGCATAATATGCCACCCATCCACAGACATAAATCTTTTAAAGCTAGGATGTCCTGCGCTTCCACCCCAGCTACACCTCACTGCATCACTGCACAACCACTGAGCATCTCTCTCAGCTGAATCCTCCTCAGACATCAAGGAGACTTGACCTCTAAAGCCACGCAAAGACAGTCGACTTCGCTGCCCCACAACGTGGGAGAGTAAACTGTGAATGACACAGACACTACAGAGCAACACAAGCAGAAAGCAGCGAGAGTTGATAGTGTTTGGAGGAAGGAGACAAAGCAAGAGGGAAGGAGCGAGTGGGGCGAAGGAAGAAGGGAGTGGGGGTGCACTGCAGCAAAGCTGCAAGGGCTGAAGCTTATCTCTAATTGGCTGCTTCGCTATCAGGATGCTGAGCAACGAGGACCAATTGGTTTCTTACAATGACCTCTATGAACTCTATGAACGAACTCTAAAAGGCTTTAAAATAAGTGTCAGGAGATTTTTTCCCACACAGAAATGTTTCCAACTCCGTCCGCATGCTGAAAACAAAAAGAGCAAAGATCACTAACTCACACCACCCAAGTCACCACGACGTCCATCCCACCCCTCACTCCTGAGTGTCAGCCAGCCACTCGAATGTATAATGAATCAGCAGCTCGTGCTGCTGGAACCAGCTGAGCAGTCCTGACAGTTTCTGTATCTTCTGCTGCTCTAAAGCAGAAGTCGATGAGCGAGCAGCCCTGCGCTTAAAAAAAGTGCAGCCTGAATCAAAGACAATGATTAATGGATTATTTTGAGAGAAGGTTACGCTTCAGTATAAGGTAATTATTACAAAATTATGAAAAACAAAAAAAAGGTGTTTGTGTCCCTTTGGCACAGTGCAACAAAAACAAATGAATTGTGGGGCCAATAATGATGCATATTTATAAAAATGGACGTTATAGCTTTTAAACTTTAATTCTACTATGCCAAACTGAGTGTGAGCACAGTGTAATGTTGAGCATGCCATCAGATCTCACTGCAGTGAAGGTAAAGCCATTTTAAGGCAGCTTTCTTTGACGATACCTCGACACGTCCAAGCAGAGGCGATCAGAACCACTCAGAGGTTCTGCAGCCAGGAATCTGTCTGGATGTAGAAACAGTTGTACATGTGCAGCTTCTGGACAAGCGCAAACTCTCCTGACTATGAGGACATTTTAAACACGTGCTAACTGCTATTCATCTCTTTCCGTTCCTCTTCTTGGATAAATGTTTTTCCCTTTTATCTGATATGAGCCACATTCATGCTGCAGCTGTGAAACTAGCCACTTTGGGCCTCCTAACCAGCATTCAACTCTGGTGTTATTTGTGTCAATGGGTCTTTTTCCAAGATCCTTCTCATGCCAAGCACCAACACCCCCACCCACTGCCCCCCACCTCAGATCTCAGTTGGTCAGGCAAGAATGCAGTCATCATTAGAAAAGGTGACGTGACCCCAAACTTGACTAAAAACACTTGTATTTGCCTTTTATGACACAAGTTTGAGCGACACAGTGGTGCAATTGGTACAGCTGCTGCTTCTCAGGCAGAAGGTTGCCAGATCAAATCCTGGCTTTTCTGGGTGGAGTTTGTATGTTCTCACTGTGCATGAACCAACACATGCATGTTAGGCTGATTGGTAACTCTAAATTGTCCCTAGGTGTGAGTGAGAGAGTGAATGGTTGTTTGTCTCATTTATCTCTATGTGTCCCTGTGATGGACTGGAGACTTGTCCAGGGTGTCCCTGTGATGGACTGGAGACCTGTCCAGAGTGTCTCTCCATCTCTCGTACAGTGACTGCTGGTCTGGATATGGACACCAGTGACCCCCGCAAACCAAAAAAGAAGAAGTGGGTAAAGATAATGAATGCATGTATGCATGGATGGATGCATGGATGGACACATTTGGTGAATTATGTCAAAATAAATAATTTTTGCTGCAGTGCTTCAAAACATTCTAAAATAAAATAAATTTTTTTTTTTTTTTCTTTGGGCAGCACGGTGGCGCAACTGGTAGAGCTGCTGCCTCTCAGTGAGTAGGTCCTTGGTTCAAACCCCGGTCCAAGGACCTCCTGGGTGGAGTTTGCATGTTCTCTCCGTGCATGCGTGGGTTTTCTCCAGGTGCTCCGGTTTCCTCCCACAGACCAAAAACATGCATGTTATGCTGATTGGTAACTCCAAATTGTCCCTAGGTGTGAGTGAGAGAGTGAATGGTTGTTTGTCTTGTTTGTCTCTATGTGGCCCTGTGATGGACTTGCGACCCATCCAGGGTGTACCCCGCCCCTCGCACAGTGATTGCTGGACATGGGCACCAGCGACCCCCGTGACCCGAAATGGAATAAGCGGGTAAAGATAATGGATGGATGGATATTTTTTCTTTCTGAACTTTTGTTTTTTAGAACCCCGGGGGTGAATGCAGCTTGTCTTACAAGTTTTCAACTAAATGTTCCTTTGCAGCAAACACAACTGAAGCAACCGTCCCATGCTCTCAGAGGAGAATCATTCCCGTCCATGGATGGACCCCCACAGGTTCTTTACCTTCCAGGCAGCAGATTCTCCAGAGCCCAGAGTGAGTGAGAGCCCCCGGGTCCTTTTTGTCTTTATTATGGGGATCATCCTGCGTGATGTTGGCTGTGCTGTTGCAGATCAGGGCACGGGAATACAGCCAGTAGTCCGTCCCTATCGCCACCGTCATCAGGCCGAAGGCAGCGAATGCCCCCACGGTGGTGAGAAGGATCTGAATCCCCTTCTCACACACCATGCCTGTGGGAGAAAGAGAAATGCAGAAGAGAAGAAACAAGAGTTTAGGGATTTATTTACAGTCACACACATGAGGTGAGAAGGAAAAGGTAAGCAGATGAGAGGTGGAGGCAGGTGTGGGAGGTGGGTGGGTAGCCTTGTGATGTGTCCTTGGAGAAGGCTTTAACGACTCTGCTGACTCGGCTTAACAAGACTGAATAAAGGTGGAGCGAAACCGATCACGTCTCAGCAGACTACATATTCATGACCCTGACACTGTTCTCCCCCTGAACATCAGAGACAAATACACACACAGCAGATCACACATGCAAACACCTTGTTCCTGTCTTTATCAGACAGGTGTGTGTGTGTGGAGGGTTGCATTTCTCCATGCAAACCTCCCTGCATGCACTCACACAAACAGCATTACATAACTCACTTAGAGCTTGTCATGTTGACTCATGCCAGCGTGTTGTGAAGTTGGCTGAGCATCACACTGTTGGCACTTCAGATATCTTCTGCTATTAAAAGTTTTCCTTTCATGCAGATACAAACCCATCCTGACTGAGTGGAGGAAAACAGACCTACCTGATGGCGAGTTTCTATCCTTCGACTCAATTTTGAAATCTTTCTTTTCCCCGTCAGTGAAGAACGTGCTGTCCCCTCAATCCGGACAGCATCCATCGACTGTTTTCACCTGCTCCTCTTCGCTTCCTTTTTCTTTGTTCTCTCGTTTGCCCCCCTGTCCCTTTCTTTTAATCTTGCTGGACTATGGATCTTGCAGGGATTGTGGACGGTTTTCCCACTCTTCCTGCTGTTAGCAGAAAACTTGAAGAAAATAAACCATGGTCACTCTTCTCTTGTGTCTCCTGCTGCAAAACAAATGTAAAAGAAAACAACATAAACCAATAAATCACATACTGTGAATTATTCAAATAACTATTTCTTCATATGCAATTAGATCATGTATTTAATAGGGACAGCAGATAATCAGGATCTTTATTTCCACAGGTTCAGTTGGTATCATCCAAATATTAACACTCACACCAACAGAGGATGGTGTTTTTGCCCAGTTCTGTGTGTGTTACCAACATATATCGTGAACTGCAGGACAAATGTTAATGAAACTTACAGAAAGTAATCCAGAATTGAATTCAACATCTTACTTTTAACCTACAAAGCCCTCAAAAACCTAGCTCCATCTTATATTACAGATCTTATTAGTCCATATTTCCCTAACAGAGCACTTCACTCTCAAACTGCAGGTTTACTTGTGGTTCCTAGAGTTTCCAAACACAGAATGGGAGGAAGATCTTTCAGTTATCAGGCTCCTCTCTTGTGGAACCAACTTCCAGTTTCTGTCTGTAAGGCTGACACATTATCCAGTTTTAAGACTGGGCCTCCTTTTTGATTAATCCTATAGTTAGGGTTGGCTTGGGTTTCCTGAGCTATCCCTTAGTAATACTGCTATAGGCTTAGACTGCTGGAGGACAATCTGACCACATTTCTTCACTCTGCTACTGTCTTTACTTACTCTGCTCAACCTGTTTTGTATTTGTAATTATTTTTTCTATCCTTGACGTGTTTTTTGTCTTTCAGATACACCTGCACCTACATCTGGACCTACATCTGGACCTGGCCTCTCCTTCCTGTCATCTCAGACAGTCAAAGCAGATGGCTGTTTATCCTGAGCCTGGTTCTGCTGGAGGTTTCCTCCTGTTAAAAAGGAGTTTTTCCTTTCCACTGTTGCCTTTGTGCTTGCTCAGGATGGGAGACTGTGACGAAGTGAAGATTCAACTTGTCTGCTGGTTTTCATAGATAGAGAACTTTACTAATTGGCTTTTCTATGTATGCAAATGTTCCTGTAAAGTGCCCTGAGACAACTTTGTTGTGATTTGACACTATATAAATAAAATGAATTGAATTGAATTCATCCCCGGATGAACATCTACAACTGATTAACGTTTAAAGTCAAATCCATTTACAGTAAGATGGCTGCCACAGCCAACTGACCTTTAATCAGTAAAAACTGGCTACAGCTCACTCAGTTCTACTGATATTGACCCAACATTAAATGTGGTAGTAGCTGAGGCTGAGCCCTAACAAAATTCCCATTAATTACTCTCTTCAGAATATATCATGAACCAATGGACATTTATTTAACAAAGCTTTCAGAAAGTAATCAGCGCATGCAGCTACAACTCCTAATTGTTTTATTGCCAACTCATTTTAATCCACCACAGCTAAAATGCCATCAGAAGAACAGTTTTAACTTTACAGATACTGAGATGAAACTTGCTGTGGTAGTAGCTGGGAGTCATTCTGAGTATAAAACGGCTATGTCAGTAATAAAATACTCAAATTTTCACGTTTATTTAACTTGTTCCAATGCATCCTTTCAAATATTCTCACAGGTTTAATCATATCCTGAGCTCTTTCCTGGTCCAGTGATGAAATACAACTTTTGCTTTGTGTCCATTAATATGATTTTTTTTAAATACTGTAACAGATTAATTTGGAATACATGTCATTCTTAGTCTTAAATTATTTATCTTAAAGTTGTGTTTAGTTATTTATAATGCACTTCACAAGACGTGGCTCCCAGTTTCTTTACAGCAATAGAAAAATATTTAACAGCTGCTGTACAAAGTTCTAAAAACAAATAAATAAATAAAACAATTACAAATACATTCACAAATGCACAGATGTAAACATTGTAATACTGTGCCATTTGACAAATATCAGGGCACCACCAAAATACTATAATGAGGAATACGAAAAGTATTTAGTTTAAAAGCTGCCTTTTGTTTAAGTACAAATCAATTTTGAACTCAGTAAACTCTTTCAAAATGCCAATAGAATAATACTGTTCCACTAGATGTTCTGCGTTAAAACTCACACAAGATGTTATTTTGCTAACGCTGCTAACAAGAGCACGTGCTAGCCGAACCACACCGCTAACAGTACTACCATGGTGCCAACGGGACCATGCTGCTCTAGATTTACTTCTTTTTCACTTTTGGTGCCTTGTTTCTGTATTTTTGTTGAATGCTTTGAATAAATCCCAGTTTATGTTAGTTTTGGGGGTTGTCTTCTATCCCGACTCCGCTCGCATTAAGCGTGTAAATGATAGCCGAACCAAACCTATGAGAATCGTGCTGCTGTTGTTCTGTGTATTGTTTTGCACTATTAGTGACTAGAGTATATCTTATCAGAGTGTCGGAGTTTCTTTATTGTCATTCGCAGCTCATGTGGTACATGTGGTGGAGCGAAATTATGTACACAGGGTCCCAGTTACATCCAACAATATAATGTAAAAGAAAAACAATGATAACATCTAAGATATGAACTAAGAAAAACATCATCTAAATATACACTAAGCACTAGTAGCATAAAAACATTACGTCGAACATCAGCACAAACCTGAACATGAGTCCGTGTAAGCAGATGAGCACGCATGAACACACCAACATTGAAACAGATCAGCAGCAACACTGAAACAGATCAGCAGCAACAAGGTGTGACCTTGTTCACAGTGATCATCCTGGTTAGAGACCCATGAGTCCAACAGCCTCAGGGCAGAAGCTGCTCCCCAGTCCAGTGGCCCCACACCCAATGCTCCTCAACCTCCCTCCTGAGGGGAGCGGGGCAAAAAGTGTGTGTGCTGGGTGAGCGGGGTCCCCCACGATGCAGGCGGCCCTCCTCCCGCACCCGGAGGTGCAGACGTCCGTGTCAGTGGGGAGCCCGACCCCAACAGTCCCCTGTGCAGCCTTCACCACTCTCCGCAAAGCCCCTCCTTGTGCAGCTGTGCAGCCTCCATGCCACCTGCTGATGCTGGAGCACAGGATGCTCTCCACTGCACACATGCAGAAGGAGGCGAGGACCGAGCCCCCCAGACCAGCTCGTCTCAGCCGCCTGAGGAAGTAGAGTCTCCGATGAGCTCTCTTGATCAGGCTGGTGGTGTTGTTGCCCCAGCTGAGGTCGTCATTCATGTATAACTTTTAACTTTCAAACTTTTTTTATAACTTTTAACGTATTGTTGGGTGTTTGTTTAGCGTATCTCTTAGTTTATATCTTAGATCCTTATTTACTGTTTCTTTTTTAAATTTATAGTTTTGCTATTGTTGGATGTAACTGAGACCCTGTGTTCACAATTTCGTTCCACCTCATGTACCACATGTGATGTGAATGACAATAAAGAAACTTGAATCCTTGAATTTTCTTACTGCCAAGAGGAAACTATTGCTGAAGGCTAAAGTACTCATTCAACAATGTTTAACTACCATCCACAGTACTGGGGTAATGTCGACTAGTTCATGTACAAGAACTTTCTAGAAGACCAACCTATAGGCTGCAACAATATGAAGGAATGTTTCTGATCACAATGCTTTCTGAGATATTTGGACAGTGAGAGAGTCTGCGTGAAGTTAATGATATCCAGTTAACCAGTGAATACAGGGTGCAGTGGTGGGTACGATAATCACAGCCAGTTATGAATCTTAGTGCACCATGATAGACAGCATCCAACATCTGCAGGGTTCTTGTAGGAGCGTTCATGTAAATAATGTCACCATAATCAATGTCACCATAATTATCATGTTTTGGTGAAGAAGTGAGGTGTGTGACCACTCCGCTGTCATACTCTATTGTACTGCGCAGAGGAGTTCCTCAAGGATATGTGTTTAGTCTTTTGCTCTTTACTCTGCTGACACATGTTTTATTGAAACATCTTACAGAGCTGAGGTGGAACAGTTGGTGATGAGATGTGGAGACAATAATTAAACCAACTAAGGAGCTGATTGTGGATTTTAGGAAAAGGCTGAATATCGAGAAACTCTCAGGCAGAAAACATAACTTTGCAGCACTGTGTGTCACAGTGTGTCAAGCTGAAATGAGCTGTAACGACGCAGATCAGCTTCAAAGTGTTAGACTAATTTTTCTTCTTTCCCACCATAAAAGCTAATCTTTTACGCAATGGATCACCAGTTAATATATATTTTTATATATCATTGTATTCATAATGACAAGATTTTGTGTCATTTATCTTTGGTTATTTCTCAACCTCAAAAGTTATTCTTTCCACCCATTTTCAAACTTTTGGAATGAAACGCTGCTACAACTAAACAAGAAAAACATAACTGTCGATAGGAGTATAAAAAAAGAGCTCCTACAGGAGCCCGAATGATCAAGCAGGACTGCATCTGTATACTTTTTCAGGAGTGTCAACACTTGAAACTAGAGTAGTGTTGCAAAATGTTGCCAGACGCTGTGGCACAAAGCATCGCTTGGCTGCTGCTGGCGTGGAAGTCATAGCTGAAAATAATGGAGGCATACTTTTTGACGATGCAACCATACAGCACTGGTATGTTTTGCCCTTTATACGACACTGGACACGTTTAATCTCATCATACATTTTTAATAAATGTGAAATGACAAAATAAATTAGTTTTTACTTGTTACTTGATACTTGAGTGAAGCTCCCTCTGAGGGAAACTCGAATGTGCACCCAGGTGTTGCGTTTCCATCAATACCGATTGATTTACTGTAGCCTCTGCAGAGAGTTATGGTGCAGGACTAAATGGCAATTAAACAGTTTCCCACAGCTCTTGAACTCCAGATGTTTTTCAAGTTCATTAATAAGCGAGGAAAGTGCTCTAATAATAATTTTTAATTATAAAACGATTTGCTTAAAATACATCAACTTGTCGATCACAGTTAAAAAAAAAAAAAGCAAAGAAGTGCATGGCGATACTGTTGGAGGCTAAAGAGAGAATGACTTCAGAGCATGTGCACAGCATCTACTCTGAATAAGAGGAGCAAGGGGGGTGGGGGAGGAGGCAAAGAGGACCAGCCCGGCAATGTTACCATAGCA